TCTTTCTTTCTTTCTTTCTTCAGACTGGGTCTCTCTTTGCAGCCCAGGCTGGCCTCCAGCTCACCATGATCCTCCTGCTTCAGCCTCCTGAGTGTTGAGGTTACAGCATGTACACCGCGTCCAGCTCTTTTGATTCTTTCTCTTTCAAAAGTGGAGCTCTTTAAAAAAAAAAAAAAAAAAGTGGAGTCCTTCCCAGCTAGCTTGCCCACAGGAGCAGGGGCAGACAGGAGCGTCTTGCAGCTAGTCTGGCTGACCTGTTCCGGAGCTGGCACAAGTGTGGGGTGAGCTTGCAGCCATCCTCCCGAGTGTTGCCGGGCCTTAACCCTTCTGGAGCCCCGGGCTGAAGGTTTCATGGTGGCCAGGCACTCACTGCCAGCCACTGAGTGATTGTTGTATAAGTCTTATTTTTTATTTTTTTGGCAGAACCAGGGATTGAACTCAGGTCCTTGCGCTTGCCAGGGAAGCGCTTATTCCACTGAGCCATCTCCCTGGCCCCCTGTATAAATTTTAAAAATGCATTTTCCTTCCTTCATGCAAGCCAGGTGCTGGGCTTGACCCTTACCCTGTTGGTCAGATGGCCTCGAACAGTAAACAAGCTGTCCCGCTGTCCCTGGGTACCACCCTGGACACTGCTTACCTTCCCACACGAGTGTGGCTGGGACTCCACCCAACACACAACAGAAAGCAGGCTCTTTAAGGGTTCTCAGCTTCACGCTCAGCTGGGCACCAGGTAGGAGGGAGGTATAGGAGCAGCCTCCCCACCAGTCCTCTCAGGAGCTGGGAGGCTGGGAGGCTCCCCACTGGCTTCCTAGGGAAGAAAGACTTTTTCTTTGGCCATACTGGGGGTTGAACCCCAGACCTTGCACTGAACTACATTCCAGCGCCATTTCGTCTTTTAAAGTTTGAGACAGGGTCTTGCAAAGTTCCTAAGTTGCTCAGGCTGCCTCCTCCTACCTCAGCCTCCCAAGTGCTGGGTCACAGGGCTGTACGGCCAGGGAAGGTTGAGAAGAGGACTTCTGAGTGTGTGCAGCAGGTCTAGGTGGGGCCACTTTACTGGGTCCAGGAGTCAGAGTGCATGAGGCACCCTCAGGGCGCAGTGTCAGCTGGGACTAGGGCATGAGAAGAGACAAGGCCAGAGGTGTGGGGCTCCTGGTCTGTGGGTCAGGATGGGTGCTAGGGAGCTGTGGAGGATGTCAGAGAGAAAAGATGGGGTGAGAGGGGTGAGAGGGGTCGGGGCTGCCAGACCCTGGCTCCCATCCCCAGTGCTGTAAAGGAAGAAGCACGCTTGGACCCCCAAAGCAGACCACATAGTCGGGCCTCCCCGCGAGAGTGCAGGTAGAGGGGCAGCCTTGGCTGAACTGGAGGGGCCTGGTGCCCAAAGCCGGGGGTGGCGTGGTCCTGCTGTGCTGCCATGGGCTAGTTACTTGGGTTCTCTGGGCCTCACTTTCCTCCTGCAGCACTTCACGTCCAAGGGCAGTGGCAGGAAGTGGCTGATGGGAATGCCCCGCAGGGGGATAAGAGGCAGGGTCGTTGTGCCAGGAATCAGCAAGGACAGGGAGCCCCTGCTCTGGGCGTGGGCAGCCTTGCTGTCTTTATGAAAACCTTCCCTTCTGACACTTCTTCCTGCCACCCAGGCTGACTCAGGGCCTATACCTGCCCTGCTGGAAGCTGGTGCTTTTAACATTCGTGTGAAAGGGCTGCCTGTACCTCCAACAAACCTCAAAAGGCAGGAGGAAGAAGGGTTGCCATAAAGACAGCTGTCCACCTCTGTGCCCAGGACTGACCTTCCCTTGAGATCTGGACGCCTATCAATTACCATAGGACAGCGGCCAGGGTTCGATCCCCGGTGTGCCGTGCCGGCCCCGCCCCAGGGCATGCTGAGATGGCGATTGAGACTGGGCATGATGGTGTGCGCCTGTAATCCAGGGCTTGGGAGGCTGAGAGCAGGAGAATTGCTGAGTCTGATCTACGGAATAAAACACTGTAGGCCCTGTAGTCCCTGTCCTCAGTACATTAAAAAATAATAAATAAAAGAAAGAAAGAAAGAAAGAAAGAAAGAAAGAAAGAAAGAAAGAAAGAAAGAGAAGAACATTAAAAAAAATTACATAGAAGGCCAACAGGAGCCCCACTGTGGGAAACAAACTCACCTGCAACCCCACCCCACCAGCTCCCCACCTGAAGATGAGATTGTCTGCAGGGCCCGGGGCACAGAAATGGGGACTTGAGCCGTCCAGGGTGATGGGGCAGATCCCATCTCCGGCCTTGGACTCGGGGAGATCGAGCGCCTCTCTCAGAGGAGCTCAGTGTTGACTATTTTTGGGGTGTGGACCTTGAGGCTGCCGGATGTCCAGGGGAACAGTTTAATGCCCGACGAGGCCAGCGTCCTAGAATCATGGGGCGGGGGTTGGGGGACTGCAGGTCAGCTTTGAAAGGGGTCAGCGCCCCAGCTGAGGCAGGGAGGGCAGAGCTGCCATCAGGAGGCTGAGCGAGGCAGACAGCATTCCCCCAAAGACCCTGAGGCAGACGGCCCGCTAACCCTGCCTTACGGAGCTGAGAGCTTTTAAACGGCCGGGATCCGTGTCTGGGGTTAAAAGCTCTTTTGTTTTCCTGACCGTGAGAAGACTGAGTGATGGCTTTTGCCTCTGTGTCCCTGGACAGCGGGCACGTGTGTGGAGGCACTGGCGGGTGTGGAAATCCGAGCTAAGGCCAGGACGGGCATAAAGAACAGGCGGCTGCAGCCTCAGTTGGCTCTGGGGGACGATGGCTTCAGCCTGGCTTGGGCCTGGGCCTCGGGGCCATCAGCAGGAGAGGCTGAGGAACAGGTCCCCCTGCACCCTGGCGCCGCTGACCCAGAAGTGCTGGTGTGGCTGAGAGACGTTAATATCCATTTGAGCCTATCAGACACCATCCCCCCATCCGTCAGGATCACCTCCCTGCCACCCCATATCTCTTGGAAGCTCAATTGTGATTTGGGAGGGCGCTGGTTGCTGCCTCTTGACTCGCTCATCACATCCATCCTCGTTAGGCCCCGCATCCGAAGCCCATGCTCCCTGGAGGACTGGACTGTATCAGGGGCCCTGCTGGACTCTCCGGCCCGCTGGTACTCTGCAGTGGCAGTAGCTGTCCCCCAGGAGCATCACTGTTTCAGACAGCAGATGCCAGCAATATGCTGGGTGCAGGGAGCCCTCAAGAGGGAGGCAAATGGCAGCTCCCGCCTGGGTGAGATGGAGAAATCTGAAGTCACCAGGCAGAGGCCCCTGCCCCAGTTTAGAGACCCTGGGGCTGGGCTGGGCTGGCACAGGGCAGGAAAGGGCAGGGCTGTTTGGGGCTGGGCGGCTCTGTGCTGCTGGCCTACCCATGGAAAGGGGCTTGTGGTGGGGCTGGGTGGAGGAGGCAGGCAGGGTGGGGTGCAAGGGTGTGGTCCCCCAGGAGGGGCAGAGTCAGATGCAGTGGGGTGCAGGAGGAAGGGGAAAAGGAGGAAGCGAAGGGTGTCCCCTGCTGTCCCCAGACTGAATTGCTCAGCTCTCCTCTTTGGGTGATCACTGACAATGTCGCCCTGGTACGCCTGCGACATCTATAGCAGGAGCCTGGCCTGGAATTGATTTGCTTCCCAGCCACCCGTGCCAGTCCATGGCGCCATGCGCTCTCCCTGCACCCGGAGGTACCAGGCTCACACCTTTTCTGCCTGACAGCCCCACTCTACCAGGCATCTCCCAGTGCAGGGTCACCCTGTTCAGATGTGCCTCTAATTGGCTCTGCTGCAGAGAGAAACCCTCCCCTCCCGCATCCCCATTCCCCACTGGGGCTCTCCAGGCGGCAGGAAAATCCAGTCCTGCTAGGAAAACTTCAAAGGAGCTTGGTAGTTCAGGGAGAGATGAAAGCTCCCAGGGGCTCCCTGGCTCGGCGACCTCGGGCTCCTCAAGACAGAACATGCTCCCCCCGCTGGGCTGCAGTGTGGCCAGGCCCCCATGCCCTGCAGGATCAGGGCCCTGCCGTGAGGTTGAAGGCCACCACATCCCTGCATTGTGCCTACTGCACACCCTGGGTGTAGGGAGCCCGGCTCAGAGGCCACCCTGTTAGTAATGACCAACGTGACCGATGACTACCCCATGTCCTTCCCTCAGCCCAGCTGGGTGCAGAAAGCTCGCCTCCCCCCCCCCCTCAGTGATTGGGATCCCTCAAAGTTTTAACATGAATGGGGTTACATGCGTGAAGCGCTCAGCCCGCGCCTGCGGCGGTGGCGGCAGCAGTGGCGGCGGCGCAGCACTTGATAAGTGGCATCTCTGAGTGGTGTTTTGCC